GCCTCCTGCCGCCCTCTTTGGTGTTGCCACTGCTCCCAGACTACATCCTGTCACAGCAGCAGGACACCAATCTTGGCCTGAGCCAGGACCAGAAGGCTGTGCCACCACAGAATGTGAACCCACCACCGCCACTCACGCCACTCTCCACCATCAAAGCCTTCTCCTCCCAGATCCAAACTCAGCCTCAGGCCTCCACCTACCATGCCCAGGTCACCAAGTGCAGGCACAGCAGGCAGTCACCTACAGGCCAACAGTACAAGACGCCGCCTCATGAGCGTCCATACGTCTGTCCTGCAGAAAGCTGTGACCGGCGTTTCTCACGCTCTGATGAGTTGACGCGTCATGTGCGTGTGCACACAGGCCAGAAGCCATTCCAGTGCCGCATCTGCATGCGCAGCTTCAGCCGCAGCGACCACCTGACCACACACATTCGCACGCACACAGGAGAGAAGCCGTTTGCCTGCACCGAGTGTGGGCGTAAGTTTGCCCGTAGCGATGAGCGCAAGAGGCATGCCAAGATACACCAGAGACGGCGGGACCGCAAGACTGACAGGAACCCCGCCAAGACCCCTGCCTCCTCTCCCTGCTCCACCCACTCCTCTCCCCCTCACAGCTCCTCCTTCTCACTCTCCTTGCAGGCCGCCTCCCCCTGCTTCAGCTCCTCTTCCTCCTCACTGTCGCACGTCTACTCCTTCTCGCCGCCCCCCCACCTTTGCTCCTCCCCTCAGTAGCAGCTACCCTCCCTCCACAGCTCCAACATGACCTTTGACCTCAATCTGAGCCTCTGTCTGGAACAGTTTCACAAATCTGATGAGAAACTATAGTTTGAAGGTCAAAGGTCAACGAGGTTTTCCTGTGTGGAAACTGTTTAACAGACTCAGCTGTTGCTTCATTTTGAGCCTTTTCAGCCACCATAGCCAATGCAAACACCTCTGACAGCAGCCGCTAAAACTGGCTGGACATGAGCTTAAACCTTCAGTCATGAAAAAAAACTCTCAGGACAAAACTGCTGAACTAAAGAAGCTTCACTTTTATGTGAAGAGTGTGGTGTACACACTAATGCAGATATGAGTATTTTTGTAGTCGGAATGTCTGTACATGATGTTTACATGTAGTATAGTGTACATACGTGAGCATGTATGTAGTTTTTACCTACTGAGTAGGTTCTGGGACATTTGTAAGTTTACATGCGGGTCAGTGTTTGGTTTTATACTGAATGTGTTTCCTCTTTAAAGCAAAGAGCTAGGAAAATAAAATGTAAAACTCCTTTGGGTGCTTGTTTCTGCCTGATAGTTCATCAGAGCTGCTACACTTACTCTGGATTTATACGTCAGTTTGTGGAGCTTTTGGTTGTATCACATGGTCTTCATCAGCAGATGGAGGTTTACCTGTTTCCCATGGAACTGCTGGTGTTCAAACATTTCTTTGTTCATTTTTATCATTTATCTAAATGATCTTCATTATTTAGAGTTGAAAGCTCCAGAACAAGAGGCTCTTGAAAGATTTTGCTGACTTTATTTGCCAGTGCACAAGCTGGTTAATATCTTGACACCCCAACGAATGTACAAATGTTCAGCGCTATTCAAACAACAAATAAATGTAACTAAAACTTCCAAATGACAACATCTAGAGTGAGGTCAGAAACTCGTCAGTGAGGTTTCTGACAGAGGTTCAGCCTGAACCGCAGCCACACAGCTTTTAAATTTACTGAGTGTTAAACAATGTTGTGTGTAACTTAATCTTCACATTAAATTAGTTGTATCTATACAGTGTTGGGCCCCAAAGGGCCATGGGAATGGAGCCTCTGTTTAGAGGGAAGTATTAATTTTTCTTGTTGGGGAATTAATCAAATGACAACAAAGTTTTAAAAGAGTGGATGAGTACGAGCATAAGAAGAACTGATGCCACGGGAATAAAAATGGACAAAATGACTGCATGTGTAAATGAAGATCAGGTGAGTGTTCGCACTGCAACTGTGGGCCTGAAACAACATAATTCAAGATTGTACTTAAAGTTCAAAGTTAAAGTAGTCAGAATGTAAAGGTGCATCTGCAGATTGAACAAACTCCCTCTGCACACTTCAATGATGTCAGCAGTAAATCCTGTGTGTGTGTGTGTGTGTGTGTGTGTGTGTGTCAGACAGCCAATGGAATCATGTGACAGTGCCTGACAGCCCAAAGAGACCGCTTCAGCCCAAATATGGTACTTCCAGTCACTGTAGCGGAAATCCTGACGCCCAAATAAGGGTCTGTCTGTCTGGCAAGACGCCCAGACTCTTGCGTGTGTGACATAACAGTGGACGGACTAGGATGGCAGGTCGGACTGCAGTAAGTGTGTGTAAAATTTGAGCTGCTGAGTAGATCAAAAACTAAAGTCCTGGTGGTTTTTGGTGAACCATGAGCAACATGTGGTTCAGGTTTAGGAATCAGTGACAAAGACCAGGTACCAGATCCAGACCAGGGCATTAGGATCCCGTCACAGGCAGCGGAGTAAAAAAAAAATCATACCTTTCCTTTTATGGCCTAGAAGTGTTCACAGTTTCAATAGTTAACTACACAACAAATTACAAAAACAGTAATTAGAATGTAGTGAAGTAACGAGCAGAAAGTGGAAACTAAGTAGGCGGCGGCCTTTTTCTACGCATGCGCGTCCTCTGCTCACGGGGTCACGTTCAGCGCCGTTTGAAAACTTTGGAGCTTGGATCATGCAGAAGTGGATTAACCAGCAACTGACCGGGGAACTTTCTGTGGTTGGCTGCTAAGTATTTCCACCATTAGACTTCGTATGAACAGACAGCGACCACTGGAGAAGAGACGCTGACTATCACAGGTGAGTGCTTCATGTTCACAGTTTACACTTTGAAGCCGGCGTTGAACAGAAGCTGCTCGGGTAGGCGGTATTAGCGCAGAACACACCTGTCCAATAAATGCACCAACTCTCAGACACATCTTCGATTATGATGGGACAAACCTGTGTGTGATTGGGAGCATGGCCAAGCTAATCAAACAGCCGAGTCGATGTTTCTCTACGCCGTCAGCCATCAGGCAAAATTGGTCTCCACTAAGAATCAAAGAATACACGAAGTGGGCTAGAACTTTGGTGGGGAGTAATTCTTGTGAATGGTAACAGAGAATGCAGAATTTGAAGAAATGAGCGATACTAAAGCAACCATGCCGCAGTATGTGAGTCTATACACGCACAGTATATTGTGGCGAGCACTGGGTTGGTGGGAAGTTATGAGTTGCTCTGTCTTTGACAGCATCCTTTTATTTTGGCAGAGCCACAGGAAGCGCCATCCACCTGAGAGAATAACATCACAATGCAACAAGAGGGCAGAGGAGGAACCAGTTACACCTAGGGTGGCAGGTAACAACAACTACACAAAACAAATCAAGTGTGGTTCAGGATGAAACGGTTAACAGGTACACCACTGCAACACAAAAAAAAGAGCAAAACCATGTGAACATGAAACAGCAACACTAAGTTTGGGTAAGAACTCAGTGAGTGACTGCAGAGAGCGCTTTATTTGCATGAGATGCATGAATTAGAATGGGATGAGAACAGACAGATAAAAAAAGACGTGCAAAAATTTAGAAAATATGATAAATGTTTTCGAGCTTGAGGAAACCTCAGTTGAAACTTAAAACGAGGCAAATTTTAAATTTTGTATGGCTTTTGTTCTGGAGACTTGAACGGTAAGCCATAGTTTCGTTTTGGTTTCACACAGACCTCAGTGTTGTCTAGGAGAAATAAATGAATCAGCTTTAGATCTGTATTCTAAATGTCTTTCCTTCTGCGTAAAAACAAGAAACGTAACAAATAAGAGTTAAGCAGTGTTGGGGCACCCCTTCAGTTTACAGAAGTGGTTTAACCTAGCTGGTCCACAGCCAGCGTGGAACGGTCTGTTCAGAAAGGCCATGATCAACTTTGTAATATGTCAACTTGTTGTTAATGCAGTGTTACCATTCTCGTTTACACACTAACGTGAACTTTACACGTGTAAACCACGGCAAAACTTGACGCATGAATAATGTGTAGATAATAAATTAACGCATAAACAGGCGCCAGCATAAACTTGGCGCAGTTTGGTTTTCCATTAGAACATAATGTTTCCGCCCGGTTTCGAACCGGGGACCTTTTGCGTGTTAGGCAAACGTGATAACCACTACACTACGGAAACATATCTATAGTTATTTTAGTAATATCTATAAATGCTCGTTCTCTTCCACAAGTACAGCAGTACGATAGATTGCATGCTGAAGAAAAGTTAGAAAAAAATCAACTGATTTCTAGGTCGAGGACGTTTCACCTCTCATCCAAGAGGCTTCATCAGTTCTACCTGACTGGTGTTGAGCCGGAGATATTTATCCCCCTCGGTGGTGTTTCAGTCCTTTGATTGCCAACAATTTCCTTTAACGACTGAGTCATTGTAGCCTAGTATTGGTGAGAGTCGTTACCTTTGGATCCTCCCCCGTCAACCGACGCCTATTGTCCTCGTGGGCATGTTTGGGCA